GGAAGTGCGGATTTGGACTTTGCTGTTGCGTGTGTCCACGTCCGTGTGGCAGCTCGCTATTTCGTAGGATGACGACAAGAAGAGGAAGAAGGACCCGCGCTGCAGACGAGATGAATGGCTTGGCAAGATTGCCATATGAAGTTTGGTGCTTGCAGAAGAACAGATGGAATTGTGGTCACCAGCCATGTGCAAGCGTCCCAGTCTGCTTCGGGCATGTAGCACCCTGTGAGTTGAGAGCGTTTGCTTTATTAGTGTGCGTGAGGACGATGACGACGATTCCCCTTTCTGGAAGCGCAAGGACACGAGCATTAATCAGAAAACCAAGAAGATTGTTTTTGGACTTTGCTGGAGGCGTGATGCGGCTGTGAATCAAAAACATTGGGTTTGTGACAGGCTTGGGCGGCCGTTCCGGGACATAGGTTTGTAACAGACTCTCTTGGCTTGCGACAAGCCCCTTTGCCACAAGCTTCTTTTGTAGGGCATACCTGCACCAAGCATTCGCGACGAAGGTATGTAACAACAGGCCACGGCAAGGGTGGATGTAACACGGAGTGGGGTGGGGGGGATGCGAACAAACGGGGTTTTGATTCACAGGCACGTGGTGTGCTGGAAAAGTGTTCAATATAATTTGTGGGCGTCCACCTCCTTGTGGCATTGCCCTGTTGATTGCTGCTTCGCAGGATGACGACAAGAAGATGAAGAAGGACCCATGTTGCAGACGAGATGAACGGCTTGCCAACATTGCCATGTTTGTCATGAAGTTGGTGCTTGCAGAAGTACAAGCTAGGATTGGTGTCCGCCTGTTTCGAGGTCTGCGATGCCTTGCAAGTTGAGAGTGTTTGCTTACTTGGTGATGTGTCAGGACGATGACGACGATTCGCCTTTCTGGAAGCGCAAGGACACCAGCCCGTTGCCCATCGGGGATCTGCGGGCTGTGTAGTACGCCATATCATACTATTGGCATGCATCCAAGTGCGTGCGTGTGGCAGCTCGCTATTTGGCAGGATGACGGCAAGAAGAGAAAGAAGGACCCGAAGTGACTACAAGATCGTTAGCTGCGTAAGGTTGGCTCGAAGCTTGTTTGCTGTGGACCCCTTGTGCATTATGAAAATCAATGAGGATTGGTCGCATTGCGGGGCTCGCTGTGCAGGACGATGACAATGATGCTGCTTCGTGGCGAGGGCGTAAGGACCGGTGCCCCAGAAGTTGTCAAGTTGTCCCATGATGCGGCAGAAGTCTTCGCCTTTGCCCTGCTGCTCTGGGCGATGAGGATGGAGCTGGCTCACGCAAGAGCGTGGACGTTGAGGGCCTGCGCATTTCAAGGGATGCACTCATGGACCAGGTCAGCCTGAACTAAGGCCTGAGCTGGGATGTTTTTGGGCCAAAGTTCTCTGTTTTTCGGGGCACGGGGGCGTTGCAGGTGGAGCATTCTTTTCCGGGAAATACATGCATGACTTTCGTTCCCTGAAAACTGGCATGGTCTGGGATCTTTTCATGGGGTCAGGTTAGGGATGGTTAGGGGGATGATGGAACAGAAAATGGACATTATTATCGTATAATTATAGGAGATATATGGGGGTTATAGAGGATATATAGGGCTAACGGAAAATTAAATGGAAACTACTATTTAGGGTTTAGGTTTGTAGGGCCATGTCTCACGGGAGTTAACGCCCGACCCTTGCAAGGATGACTGATGGATGGGCTGACAGGTACACCTATAGTCCCCCTTAAGTAGAAAGCACATGGGGTATATTATTGGGGTTATATATGGAATAATGGAAAAGAATGGAAATATGATGGGGTGTATATTGGGGTTATAGTCCCCCTTTAGTAGATAGAACACGTTTTTTTGGCATATCATAATAAGATCCCCATGAAAATTTTCTATCTACTTAAGGGGGACTAAATATACTCTGTTGAGATCTATAACAATTCAATTTTTCTAGGGCCCCCCAAACTTACCTTAAACTCCAAACCTAAACCCTAGCCGCCGCTGCAGGCAGACCAAAGCTGCGACAGCACCCCCACCCCCCCCTCCTGCAGAGGGGTTTCCCAAGATAATACTGTACCACTTCTGGGGGCTTTATAGGGGGATATATAGGCTTCTATAGGGGTAAAAAAAGGGTTTAGGGTTTAGGGCTTTCCAAAATTTAGGGCTTTCCAAAATTAGGGGTACCATTTTGGAGGTCCCAATACTGAGGACTATTTTATGTTGGGGTCTATATTGGGGTCCCCCTCATTTTGGGAGACTACCATGAGGGTTTGGCTGCAGGCGAAAGCAACCTGGCGGGTCACGGAGAATGGCAGCATGCATGTGCTACTGTCCCTTTGTGGCAGCAGCGGGCTGACCCAACAATTTAGAAGTTCCGGCGGCACCCAGAAGCATCTCCTCATAGAGGGTGTTGCTGAGGGTCGCCTTGTGCATTTTTGGCAAACTTGGACTTCGATTTTAGTCCTGTTGCAGCGCCTACCTGTGGAGCGTGTGGATGCATCAAATTGGAGTTGCGTTGGAAGCCATGCATCTAAAGCTTGTGGTCACTTCGTTCGCATCTGTACACTCCTCGTTCTGGCCGCTGCTTTCCAAGCACAGTGTCAGCAGATTGCTTGTCGTGCTTGGTGGACCTTTCAGACAGCCCGGTGCGCATCACGTTGAGACATGTGGCTCTGGCAAGATGACAGCCGGCTTTGGCGAGATGTACGTGACCAAGTCTACAGGGACAAGCGGGATGCGATGTGCAGCAATGCAGACGTGCCTGCATCGGGTTGCTCTTGTTTTCTCAGCCAAAAGCAGACTGCTCGCGACTTCGAGAAAAAGGCCCTCCGTTCTGACAGGCCGAGCCCTGCAATCCCTATTCTCCAAGACCGCACCAAGTCACAAGTCAGGGCTGCAATATGCCGTTTCCTGACGGTTCGGGAAGCAGAATTTGGAATGATTGAATTTAAGTTTTGAACTTTTCCGTGCCGTTGCCGCCGTCACAGTTTCCGGTTACGAGGAAGAGAACAGCACGGTGGGCTTACAAAGTACAATGCTCTCAGAACACCATCTTGCAGCATGGAGCGAGGGCTTCGGTAGACCCATGCATGTTCATTGCCAGCACATGTAATCAACATAAAGCTTGAGCACACAAATCATGCGGCGGAATTCCAGCTGTACTATCTGTCACGCACAGCCTTTTTTGCAACCAGCTATTTCGACAGGTTTCTACGTACTGCGGACCCGTTCTCAACAGCTACATGATGTACATGGGACAGCCGATGCCCTAGAGTCTTTGACCTGATGCTCATCCAGACAGATGTGCTGCCAGTGCAAGGACGGGTGTGTACACGCATACCTTCCCCTACCAGAAGAAAGATGACTGCACCTTTCTTAATTCAAAAAGCCAAGGCGTGGGCAGCAGGCATACTGTAGCACACTGCAAAGATGACTCCCTGGTGCTTAGGAGGGACTGGGGGAATGGATGATGATTATAGGAACTAGTATTAGGGATTATAGGGACCACTATAGGGATCCATTCCCCCATTCCCTCCTAAGCACCAGTTGAAAAGATGAGGCATGGTGTGTGGCGGTGCAAAGCTTACCTTAACACGGCCTCGAAACTCATCTTTACAGGCTGGTCTTGCCACATCATGCCAAGGCTATTTTGGCTTTGTGTAGTTGACCATATTGGGCTTCTATGGGGATAATGGAGAATAAAATGGAAACTACTATAATGGGTTATATAGGGATTATAGGCTGGGTGTGTGTATATATATGTACCGCCAGGAGCTGCTTGACTTCCTCATTGCCAGCCCCACCCACCAGCTGTCCAGGAGCAGACTGTCCAAGCTGGAATTGTGGTATTTAATTTGGGGATACTAGACTACCCAATATAGAGTAAGATTATAGCCTCCTTTTGGGGTATAGTATTTTACATGAGGAATATAATCTCACTAGGTTTAACCACCATAAAAAAGGCTACTCAGATGCCGTTGCAGCAGTGCACAGGCCCTCAGTGTCGAGCATGGGCCCCGGTGTGCGGCGGTTTGCCGAACAAAGCTGCGTATCTCAGTCTGATACACTCATCGTGACTCATCGTGGCACATATGACACGAACCTCAGCGTGAATGCAGTGTTTTTCTGCTCTATTTGGCCCAAGACATGACTTCCAGAGGCAGCTGTTCTTCGCAGCCCAGCCAAGCATGCAGCAATGGCGTCATTCAGCTGTCGCATAGCCCTGAAGCCCTCCGACAGTTGGCTCTCACAGAGCTTCAGCCTGCCACGCAGCCTTCTGTTGGTCCCGGTTCCGGGTGCCGGCAACCTCTTGGGGTGGCAATGGCCCAGAGCCGTTCGTGTGAAAGTTCGCAGGCTCCTTTCAATCCTTCCGCACTGCCGAGGGTCACTGAGCTCCCTTTCTTCAGCGAGGAGACCGCGGAGGTGGAGGCTTTGGTCCGAGAGCTCGAGGCAGCGACTGAGGCTTTTGGTGAAGGGCGCAGACAGCTGCGCTCATTGTTGCGCAGGCGGGCGCACCTAGAGGCGCAATTCCAACGTGCTGCAGAAGCCTCGCGGGCCTCCGCTGAAGCTGTCGAGGGTGCCATGGAGGATGCTCGCCGCTGGCTCCATGTCGGCTTTCCTTGCTTCCTGGCTGAAGGCCTGGAACATGGGGAACAAGGGAACACTCCCGCCCTTGACGGGCCAAAGACTGGTTCATTGGAAGCCTTGCGTCATAAGAGCGCACAGCAAGCGGCAGAACTTCAGAGGCTTGCCCAGAGGTGCGCTACCCTACAACAAGCCGATCAGGCCGCAGACATAGCAAAACTCAATTCTTTGCAAATGCAAAATCTCAAGGAACAAGTTTCGCATCAGGACCAATTAAGGGATCTGAGAGCACGCCGGGCAGAACTGCTCCGAAGTCTTGGTGGCACTTCAGACCGAGCCAAAAAAAGCACCAGAGCGAGGCTGCATTCCATTGGTGTAGTTATAGTCCCCCTTAAGTAGATAGAATATGGCATTGGGTAAATTGTAATAACATCCCCCACAGACCCCATATTCTTTCTACTTAAGGGGGACTATATGCTTTCAGCTTTGCCAGGGCCCCCTGGGCTCCTGGGCCTCGCGTTCTTTTCCAAGGTACTAGTGGCATTGTCTTTATGCAGAACCCCAAGCCCATCCGGATGCAACATGAGTCCGGGCCTGAGATTTGGGGCCCGGAGCCACGAATCCGAAACCTTTAAAAGGCCAAGCAGAAAAACACAACAGCAACGTTGTGGTCCATGATGTGAGCTGTAGCTATACGCCCAGAAGCTGAATGGCGCAGGGCCCAACGGTAACTCTTTACATTGGGGTTATATGGGGGTTATATTGGGGTTATATAGTAATAATGGAGAAGAAAAAGGAAACTACCATATTATAAGATGAAAGAGCCTCGAGGTACAAGCTAAAGATGAATTTGGAGGAGCTAACCAAGGCGGACCCGCAGAGCACCCAGCTTCCGTGGCCACTTCGCACTATAGTCGAAGCTCCTAAGAGGTGTTTTCATAGGGGAGTATTTTAGGGCTTATGACGGGAGATGCTAGGAGTTCAGATTTTGTAGGGAAGAAGGGAATATGATCCCAATAGCCTGTAGGACTCGGCTGGTTTCACTTGAATAGCGCGCCCTTGCTATGCAAGACCCTCCGGATTGCACGGCAGAGAGAGAGAGAGATCCTAATAGCACAGTGAGAAGAAGAAGAAGATCCCAATATAGCCGTGCCTTTCGGGGTGGGGCATAGCAGTGAGCCGAAGAAGGAGAAGAAGACGATCCTAATATATCCATTAGACACCAGTAACATGGAACCCTAAACAGTAGCTTCCATTTTCCTTTCCCGGATAAACCTACACAATTTCTATAGACTCCGTATACATTCCTGTGTATGCAAGGTTATCAGTGGGACGGGGTGGCTTTTCATTCTAATTTGAAAGCCTTTCCTAAGCATTTTGGCACTTGGAACGGGATCTCGCTAAGGCCTGTGTTCGCAGAAGGTGAAGACCTGACGGTACTGCTCTTACCGTGTTCAGGGTATACTTACTGGGGGTTAGTAGAGAATAAGGGAGAATATTACATAAGCACAGTAGGACATAAGGGTCATATCTTATATTCCTTTATTCCCTGCTACTTAATAGGGCTCGGCCAGGCTCGGGTCTATATCTATAGAGCCTCTATTATAGTAGGACTTAAGTAGTGATATTTTATGTTCGCTTATTCCCCTAATAGGTCTGGGGTCTATATAGGGCCTGCCTGGGCTTCAAAGTTCAGATTTCTGATCTGGGGGTTCAGCGAGCCCTTGGGTTGGGAGCTCAGGTCACCGACCCTATGTTGCCTACAAAATTAACTTTGAGAGCCCTGGGCCCAGATTCCATGGATGCTGAGTGCCAGACAAGAGCCGAAATCAAACTAATATACCCAGGTACGTATATTGTATCCCCAGAAGGCCGTAGGTATAGTATTGGAGTTACTGGCCCCTGCAAAGCCCCGAAGCGGGACCATATTCGCAATCAACCTGCACACCAGTCACTGCTCCCACTAAGGTATTCTTGTCCGACAGCTGATGTGCAGGAGTTGCGGAAGACAAGGTCTCTCGAAAAATTGGAAAATGGGCGGAGCTTCGTCTGAACTGCTTGATCGGTTTTGTCCAAAGACTTCGCAGAACTGCATCTTATTGGATCTTGCTGTCACGCCTTCAAGCTGTGAGAAGCAAGTCCGAAATGGCATGAAGCAATATCGCGGAGCCGCTCTGTACATCTCATTGCGGGGCAACCTGCCACCCAAACCTGAGCTGTATCCGTCCTCGAAGCAATCGTCACGCATGCCATGGAAGCAGATGTGCCAGCTGTTGGACGGCGTAAGTCGCACAAAGAGGATCCAGAGCCAGTGTCAAAACTGCTGTTGTCAGCTCTGAAAAGCGGACAATTCATAGCCAAAATTGGCCCGTATTTTTGAGAATAACCCAAGTTTCAACGGCAAGGGTGAAGTGACAGATGTTGGGATGCAGCCTGTCCAAGTAGTTCCTCACCCAGAGTCCACCTGCAGACTCACATCCTGCGGAGGAAAGGCTGGAGCGCAACACAAGTCCAAGCGATGAAGCGGACGAGAGTCAGGACTTCAAGGCAGCTACTTCGGAGTGCCTCAAATCATACTTTTTACGTAGTTGCTGAGCCATCCGGAAAGTTCTGGCCCACTGCTCGCGTCTTTCATGTGAACTTGACATCTGAGCTCGAGCTCACCCCTGTCAGCTCACAGGTCTACAGCTCCTACTTTTCAGACCGCGTGCATCACCCAAGCTCTGCTGGCGAGGCGCGATGAAGTCCCAGGTTCATCAGCGGTCTGCGTAGTTTCACCAGGAATTGTTTACCTACCTCACCCTACCCCACCCCAAATGGTGGTTTCCAAAAAACAGTGGTCCCAAATTCGCGGAACTTAAGGTTATGGACTTATTCATGTCCAGCCAGCTTTTGTTGAGGCCTGCCATGCCCCTGCACTGGTGATCCACGTCAGACAAAGTTGCGGTGGGATTGCCATAGGCATTGGGATTTCCACGAAGCGATTAAGAGAGGGATGGAATTACACGAAAGGATAGGTGCACCATCAACAAATTGTGAGAGGTGAGTGTACCACACTCTAGATCCATACGGAGTGCAAAGCTCATATCCCCCAGAACACATTCTTGTATCATTTTAGGATATTTTTGGGGTTCATCCTCTCTGCAGTTCTCGTGGATTTTCGACTTGTAGATGTATTACAAGCGTGGGCCGTGCAAGCTATCTGAATGTACGCATGCGCTGCTTATAGGGTTATCTGGGTTCATCCCCTACCAGCCACCATCAGCCACCCTTACTATTCCTACACTCTACGCCGCTGCCCATTTTCTCTTCCATTCCTTCACTAACCTGAACTCAAAGCCGTGAGGCACTTCCCATTTTCTCTTCCATTCCCCCATTCATTGGTAACCTGGTAACCCTAAACCCTAAACTGATTGCTTTTTGTTATATGGGCCTGCAACGAGTTTCTTTACTGACTTTACCAGATGTGAACCTAGCTATGCTGCCCGAGCCATGCAAACCTGAAGCCCTAAATCCTTAACTGGTTGGCTTTTACGGAACTTGAATTAAGTTACTCCAATAAGGAAACCCTATTATTTGACATTATGATGACTTTCCTGAACAGCAACCCAGTAAAACCCCCTTGGCCAGGAGCTTAAACTACAGAGCCTCGCCGGAGAGCAAGAAGACTCGAAGCCTCGACAAGCTCCTGGCCAGGACTTTGCAAATATGTCGGGGACCTTAGGGTTTAGGGGGATTATATAGGGGTTATAATAGGAGTTATATAGGGAGAGTTGGGGACCTTAGGGTTGGGGTCTAGGGGATAAAATAGGGGTTTAGGGTTTAGGGTTATACTAGGGGTTATATAAGCAGAATGAGAAGAAAATGGAAGCTAGTGTTTAAGGCAATTTTTTGGGGGGTCTCCAAAATTACTTTAGAGGTCCCCTGCTCTGGTTGAGATGTGTCCAATGTGGTAGGCAGCGGCCAGTCACACGTCTGGGGATTTTCACGAAAGGTTGACCTAAAGAGGGCAGACGCAGATGGTGATTTGTGCTTTTTCTTTCAGTTGTGTTTGAAAAAAGGATCCCCATAATAGGGTTTATAGTATTTTGGGGTGAATATTGGGGTTCCCCTATTTAGGGAAACTACCATTTGGGGAGCTCTGGGTCATGTGAGCCATAGTCTAAATGGAGGGGGGTTATATAGGGGAGTATATAGGGAGCATTATAGTGGTTATTCAGGGCGATGCTAGGAGTTCAGACTCTAGCTTATGTAGGAGTAAAGTTTAGGGTTTAGGGTTGGGCGACCCTTTGTTGGAATGTGCGTATGATCGAAGTGAGTTGGGATATGCTGGGGACCAACTTCTGCAAACACACACAAAGAAGTTTCCAGACTGAATTATATGTATGTCGATCTTTTGGAGCCAGGTCACCCATCAGCCCCGGAGTGTCTTCCAGAAATTTCCCAGCTCCTTGGACTTCTTGTTGTATAATCTCCAAAGCCCCAGCGGCTCCCGACCTTTGAAATCATGTGAAGACCGCCAAATACTGCGGCTGCCGCGGGCTGGGACTGCGCTGAACTTTGGTTCAAGGCGAGTGGGCCTTTCACACACCTTCATGCGCATTCCATGTACCCTACCCCCCTGTTTCGAGAAACACTGCAGCCCACTACGCCGTCGTTCCTGATCTCATGAAAGTCCTAGCCTAAGCTCCATCAACCCCTACAGCTAGACTTTGTCCACTGCGGCTGCCGAAAATAAAGACATGACATGCAAGAGTTCAAGCACCTAAGCTTGCGACACTGGGTCGCGGGTCGCTGCGCAAATGAAGACCAGATTCAGCTCCTCCAAGAATTCTTCCAAGGACTGGGCAGGGCCCATGCAGGACTTGAAAAGCTTTGTGTATCAGTTGGCAACCCCAAACAAGGTGCAAGCGGAGTCCGATGCGCGTGCCTAAACAAGGTGTAAGCTGAGACATCTTTGAACCTGGCACTGGAGGAGAGCAAGATCGCATCGAAAGAGGCGCCAGGCCCACTCATGCTAGCTGCTAGACTGCTCCCTCATAACCCTGCTGTAATTCTAGTATACGCTCCGAAGTTCTCTTCCCATTCATCTTGTATATCCCCTTTTGTACAAGGAATCCCCACCATGTGGAGCTGACCGGTTAAGCTGTGATCTGTTTTCCTCAGATAGCGGCGGGCTGTTCGGTGACACTTCCCACGCGGAGCCACCCCCGCACCTTATCAGCATTATCTTGCCAGGGACCTCTATAGTCCCCAATATAGCGTAAGAATTACATCCTCCTGTTGGGGAGAGTAGAGGCTGTACAGAGCTTATGGATGCACGTGGTGGGCCTTCTCTGCGGGCACCGAGACTAAGGATTGTAAAGTATTTTACGGTCTATAATCGGGGCCTCCTGCCTCTAGAAACGACCATATAACCAGTGACAGCAGCGAGTCACCGCCATACATGATTGGCTGCGGATTTACAACGCAGGGTTGCCAAATTGGATAGCTTAAACCATTCTCTTGCTCGGAAGTTGCTCGTTTGACTACCCTGGATTTCTGCGGTGGGGTTGCCGAAAATGAGAGGTCTTTGAAGGGATTTAAGGGTGCACCCACTATCAGGCACTAGATCCCCAAATTGTTGGAAATGCACCTGGATGGCAGAAAGGCAAGGCAGTGTGAGCAGGATGCAGATTTGGAACCTGGAGCAAAGTTGTCCCATGCTGTTCCCCTAGGTTTCAATCTGGGACTGATTCTGCAATGAAATTTCCCAGTGGTGTTTCTAGGGTCTGTTTGCAATGAGGGGCCCTTAAGTTACTAGTGGGAAATCTGGAATGGATCCCTGTTGTTCCGAAAGCAAACCCTGTATCCGCTTCCATCGTCCCTGCTAGCCACCATCGGCCGCGGAGAAGCTTCCACAGTTTGCGCTACCACTCTTGCCGTACTGAGGACATCGAGCACCAGCAGGAAAAAGAAGGCAAACAAAAACGCGTCTGCGGCCTCTGAACAGGACCGAGTCACTGGCTGAGCTCAGGTAGCAACCCCCAACTGTCCTTCTGAGATGCATCTGGAGATTTCCACGAACTCCGAGGTCCCTATAAAACGGCATATCGTAATTTGCGGCACCTGGGGGACCCAGAATTTTGAAAACTTCCATCTTGATGACATATGAGGAACCTTCGAAGGCCGACCCCGATTTGGTTGCTCAGGCCGGGATCTCGAGTCATTGGAGGTGATCTCATCTTCGCTACTGCAATTTCCATTCCAGTTGTCACTATGCCTTGTCTCAGTTTCTTCATGAAATATAATTTGCACACCTTTCTGTCGGACAACAGGGTGGCCTCTGATGTTTTTGATTCTCATCTGACCGTTCTTCAAGACTTTCATTGGGGTTAAGGGTTTGGGGGCTTTGGTTGTCCAGGTTCTCAGTCGTTCATCGCCAGATCATGGATAGCCATGTGGTAGAGACTCATGTGGATTCCAGAATGCAATCGTCCTTATTCTGGGGACCTCCCCAGAAAGACATCCCTAATTTTGGGAAACTGGGGAGCTTGCGTCCAAAGCATGCGCAAAGGAGTGGTCTTGCCGGCTCAGGATAGCTGGACTGGCGCTGTATAGGGCCTTTTCAGGCCCAAGATTGCACAGGATGAGGGTCCCTAAACCCGAAACCCTACTACCCCACCTAAACCCTAATACCCCCCGGGCTCCAAAGTAGATCCATCGCGTGAAGCCTGCAGAGTGCCCACTGCAGCAGGCCGATCCTGACCCACCTCGAGAAGAAGATCAGGATGGGGCTCTCTCCACATAGTCCCTTTATGGTCCCTCATTCTCATTGGGGACCCCTATGATCCTAGGATGCTCTCCACATCCCCATAGGGTTCCCAGGACCACCTCTATTTCAGAAGCCCATGCCTAGTGATGAGAAAGCCTAAGCCTAGCCAAGCTTTGAAGGTTTGAGACGAGGATGCCCCTTAACTAGCTAGGTCTTCTATCATGGCTTACTTGGGCGTTTGAGTGCTGGATTTTGCTGGGGCCTTTCCTGCCTCGGCTGTATCCTTTTCATCTGGCACGCTCAAACGTTTGCGACGCAGTTTTGCCAAACGTATAGCCGTGCCCCAACCAGTTTGTGTGCAGGTGGAGGCAGCAACAGCATCAGCCTCTACGCGTCCGCTGCCCGGGGGCTGGACCGAAAAGGAGAACGCAAAGGGCAAGAGCTACGCCAAGAACTACGATGCGGATGCGTCACCGATTGAAGTGAGCTACTATGCTGGGAGGGCCAAGTCAGCTTTGCAAGAGGCTTTAGTGCCTTGGCCTCGCCCCAGGACATGGTGTGCCCAGGCAGAACCCTCAGCAAGCTGCGTTTTGTGAAAACTAAGGCCGCGGATGCCAACCTGCCATGGCGCCGGGGACGTCTCGTGCTTCTGGGCCAAGGCCGAGCAGGAAAGTCCTCGACAGTCAGGTCCCTGGTTGGGAAGCCCTTTGACAGCTGCCAGGCTTCCACGGTAGGGGTGGAAACTGCAAGCTGTGAAATCCAGCGTGGCGACGCTGTGGATTGGCTCATGCAGGGCCCAACCTCAGAGACAGAAAGCCTGGTGAAGCAACTGCTTGCAGATGGGGCCGCCGACAACCCTGGGAAGGCGGAGGATCCGCAGACGGAAGTAACGCAGGCTGACCCCCCTGCTGTGAAGGAGACGGCTCTAGAAGAGACTCTTTCTGAAAAGCCTCAAGAGAATCTCCTAAGCCAGCTGCCGGTGGATGAGGTCGCACAGAAGTTGGATCAGGAGACTCGTCCTCTTTCAGGGTTCTGGGGCGTGACAGCCTGACCTCCTTTTTTCTGCGGGGATTTCACAAAAGTGTAGATTGGCTACGCTGCCAGTAACAGTGTCGGGGTTCAGATACCAGGAGATGATCATGAGTCGGAAGTCTGCCGGTCAGCCGGTAACCTTCTCAACCTGGGATTTTGGCGGGCAATCAGTCTTCCACAACCTGCATCACTTATTCCTCTCCCGCTGCAGCGTATATCTCGTGGTGTTCCAGATGCCCCACATACTACGTTCGGAGGCGTCCTGCGAAGAGGCGATTGCGATGCTGAGATACTGGCTCAACTCCTTGGCGATGCATGCCAAAGGCGCTCCGGTCTTACTGGTTGGCACCCACAAGGACGACATGCCTAAGGAGTCGGATCACAAGAAGATCAGCGAGATCCTCTGGGAGAAGCTACAAAGCAGACTCGCCGAACAGGCAAGTCGGGGCCTAGTGATCTGCAGTAGTGAAGCCTAGACTGTATCCTTGCAAGATCTTGCCAGGTGCAGCCTTTCGCACAAGAGGGCAGGGAGGGCCTGTGGTTCTTCCCAGTAGACAATACGCTGAGCGGCACGAGGGTGGATCCGGTTGTGCAAGAGCTGCAGCATGCCATAGAAAGTGCCGCCCACGAAGATGTTATGAACTATTTGGAGAAGCCCATTCCCGTCAGATGGAGGGGTGTCCTTGATGTTTTGTTGGCAAAGACAGAATCGATCATCTCGATGGATGAGATGAGATCGATTGCGAAGGCACAGGGGTTGCCAGGGTGGCAGCTGCTGGCCATGCTCGAGGTCTTTCATGAGGCTTGTCTGCATATGAGACACGGGATGCAACAACAAGCTGCTGGATTGATGTTTTTCAGTGCTGTAGCTTGCTGCTGAGGAACTCGGTGTCCTGTTCCATTTCTCCACTCCGATGGAGCTGCGGGAGATTGTCATCCTGCAGCCGCAGTGGCTGGTGAGTGGCATTTGCCAGGTCATCTTTGACTGGACCTTGCATGAACAGGAGCACCACAAGCAGCTGAAAATTGAGATGAAGTCAGCTTATGATGCATGGAGGTACAAGGGAATTGTGTCCGGACGATTGCTGGACCGCCTTTGGGATTATGGCTACGAGCAGCCGGCACAGAAGTCTTTCTTACTCCGCTTCATGGAACAAGTTGCTCTGACATGTGAGGTAGGGCCGGACACCTTCCTGGTTCCCAGCCTCCTGCCACAAGAGGATAGGTCGTCCAAGTTATCAGGTAGCACTCACCGAACTTTTTGGCTGGACTTTTCCCCATCCTTTCTGCCCGACAACTTGTTCAAGCGGCTCATCTGCTATGCCGTGCAGAAGTGCAGCGGCCAGACAGAGCCCATGCTCTACGAGTCCTTTGCCTTGCTCACTTTCGAGGGCCATGACTTTGGTATCACTGCCCACCTGGACCACGATGTGATCGACGTACTTGCCTCAGACCCTCAAGTATTTGCCTGCCGTCCGTGATGTGCATCAACCCCCCCACCCCATTTTCCTTTCGTCTCCACCTCGTGGCCCGACAGCTGAATCCCTAGTATGCCAGCAGTCGAGGATGTCAGCGGATGTGACTGATCAAAGGTTAAAACTATGGGCCCCTGATATGGGGCCTACTATATACCTTTTATATGTACCCCTAAAAGGCCTAAGGGCCCATAGTGGGGGCCCATACTCGTAACCGTAAAACTGAACCCCCCAGCATTGAGCTCAGGATAGTTCAGGCACAAAGTATCCAAAGCATTTGCCAATTCCAGGTTAGCTATAGTCTAAACCCCTTAATAGGGGTTATATAGCGGACTGCTCTAGGGGTTATGAAAGGGGATACTAGGAGTTTAGATCCTGGCTCAGATGCGTAAAGCAGACTTTGCTACCCAGGAGCAGCCAGGTTTCAGGAATGAGGTTTGATGGGAGCCTTTGGATTTGAGACTGGCAGGATATCAAAACACTGGGACCGCAACTTTTTAGAAGATTGAATTGGTTGCCGACTGCATCATGCATCTATCTAAATGTTCATGCTCTTGTTACCACAGATAAGATGCGGGCTGGCGAACATATTCAAATTTCAGAGATACACATTTCGAAGTATGGGGGTGACAGCTGTTTTGGCAATCGAGCACTTTTTGTGCTCAGCGGCGGCGCTCATCAGTAGGACATACCTCCAGGAGAATGTTGCAAAGTGAGAGTATTTTGCTACTTTTTGGTTTGATCAAAAATCAGTGTGGAGCGGACCACATCTGCAAAAATGTGGTCACGATGAGACCCAGGTTGACGTCTTCTCGACTGCTGCTGGGGGAGCTTGGCTGGTTCTGCACTCAATCATCAATCTCGTCGAACATCTTCGGCTCGACTTCATGAAAGATTTGAAGTACGAAGTCCTGCTGTCGGGCACTGACCGCACGATCAGGGCGAAGAAGGGGGAAGTCGAGCAAGCAAGAGCGAGCCCTGGCTACACATTAATATCTAACACCTTCCAACCCACTAACACATGGTAGTTTGCCTAACTAGGGGACCCTCAATATAGACCCCAAAATACTAGAATCCTTCTTGTAGGGACCCCTAGAAGGGTACACCTAACTTTTGGAAACTTCCCATCTAGCTTCTCACTCAGGCGAGGGCTTGCCAAGTTTCGTCCGAAAGGAACGACCAGGCTTTTGCGGACCGAGGAGTTCGACCCCTTCTTTTCGGCCGGCCAAGGGATGGAAAGGGATGACAGCAATTTTATGGTACTCTAGAACATAAAATACCAGGGTTAAGGGCTAAGGTGCAAAATGTATACCAAACAAACTTAGTAAGCTATGCTGGAAAATCATCCCCCCTATCTGGCCTTGGGCATTGGAAGTGCTATGCAGGCTGACATGGCTCAGCCGCCCAGTGTGCTTGTGGACTCCCAGTGGCGGCAGCTGAAGAGCGCGTGGCCCTTCCTGGTCAGGTGCCTTGGAGCATTGTGACGATAATGAAGATACCGGAATAGGAACATATGCTCTAATGGAAAAGCAAACGGAAAAGACCATGAGATTTGAAATTCAGATAGCTCTATCATGTCAGAGCGGCAGTACGTAATGACTTCTCGTAAGATCATGTCTAGCAGAAACAATGGTGATCATTGTGGTAGTAGTAGCTTTGGGTTTTGCAAGGCTATTGTCGTAACCATATCATAGCACTACTTGTAGATGTCCTGCAGTAGTGATGGTGAGCATAGCAGTAACCGTGGAAACTGTGATTCCGCAAAGAGAGCATAGCAGCACATGGTAGTTTCCGTGCATAGGGGGACCCCAATATAGACCCCAATATATTAAAGTCCTCATTATAAGGACCCGCCAAAAACATACCCCTAATTTTGGGAACCCCAAACCCTTATAAACCACTAGCCTTACCCCAGTTTCCCTTTCATTTTCCATTTGAAGCTCCATATTGGGGAGAATGCTATATAGCCCTGGTCAAGATATTCATATTTTTCGGAAAGCCCCATATGGCATAGCGGGGCTAGGCCTCGTGGGGTGCATCCGCCTTGTCGCAGGCACGAGCACAAATTTGGATCGAGCGAACGCACTGCGCTGTACAAATACCTGCGAGATCCTGCGCAGTGCTTTGTTTGCATGTTAACTATATCATCTCATCACTGTTATTACTATGATCATCATTATTGCTACTATTAGTGTAGGGTTGAGGGTTCAGGGTTTAGGTTTTAGGGCTTAGGTTTCTCAAGGGAGGCCGTGAGAAGACTGCATTGGTGGGGCCGGGCGGTACTAACACAGACTGAGATTCGATTCATGGAGAGCATGCGCCAAACCCTAAGCGCTAGACTGAGGCAGAGCCACAGGGAAGAATCACCCCCCATGTATACCCTATTATAATATAGTAGTTTCCAGTTTCTTTTACATTATCCCCAATATAACCCCTATATAACCTTAATATATGTTACCATAGCTGAGCTGGGCTCTGACTTCTGGAAGGGTACATTCTCTACAGCTCATACCCTTAAGTAGCTTCTAGCTTTTGGAAGATGAGAGCCTTCGAAAAGAGCCCTGGAGCATCTCAGTTTTTTTTTGCAGGTGCTTAAGAAGGGACCTACGCCCAAAATCAGAAAGGCACCAGACCCAGTCGAAGCCTAAGACTTGGCTATGCTCTCATAATTGGGTAGATTGAGGTGGGGCATATCCTGGTCGGCACTTGACACTTGGCCAGGGCAGCCTTGTTTTTGTAATCTTTGTCTGGGAAGAAGTGGCGAGGTTGCTTCCCTCGCTGGGATGCTGTGAGTATAGCTGCAGTTGTACCAGCGAAGACGGCAGATGTGCAGCGTGCTCTCGGTGCCTATGTCAACTCCATGCAGAGTTATGCCTTCCCTTGCAAGGAAAGCATTGAGCAGGATGCCAAAAAGACGTTTGGCAGCGACTACCAGACCAAGAGCATGTGCCTTAACAAGGGATAATGGGGTAGTGGGAGAAATGCAAAGTACTATGGAAGAACATGGAACATGAAATCAACACTGGCATCGTATAGTGGTTCGTGCGTGCTCAGGCTAATGCCCGTTGTCATAGTTTTCTTGGGTTCCTAGTGGTTCCCCCAATTTTTGGAAACTACCATGTCTGGGCAGGCAAAAGTCAAACAATTGCCCTTGTAAATGGTAGTTTCTCTATATATGCGGACCCCCCATATAGACACCCAAAATGCTATAATCCTTATCACGAAAACCACCAAAAGGTATAGTCCCCCTTAAGTAGATAGAATGTGGGGTATGTAGGGATCTTATTATAATATACCCCAAAGCCATATTCTATCTACTTGAGGGGGACTATACCCCTAATTGTTAAGACCAACTTCAGGTGGCATGTTGTGCAGCACATTGTGAAGCCAAGCTGTGAAGAGCATGGAGCCCCCATTGCCTTGGTCCGGAATGGTTGCTCTGCCTTTCCTAACTTGGGGATAATTACCTTAAGCTTTAGGGTTTAGGGCTAAGCTCTATATGCATCCTTATAAAGCCCTATAATATTCCTCGAATTTTGGCCCCGGTATATCCCCAGAATCCTAATTCTGGGGACTTGGACTTTTGTCGGCCTAGAAGCGGCGCAGCTGAGGTTGGCAAGTGCATCTCGATTTGCAGTTGAGTGTTGACCGTTTTGCCACCTATATAACTCCAATATTCTATATCAGTTCCCGTTTTCTTTTCCGTTCTCCCTACTATAACCCCAGTATATACAGCATGTGCGGCGCAGTGCTTCCAAGGTTGCCGGTGCAGGATTTCATTACCCACTGTTGGAGGGAGCCCTTCCACGAGTTCATGGACTCCTTGCGACATGCCTATGACGTCGCGATTGTCAAGCCCCACCTGTTCATCTGCGCCTTTTCGCTCTTCCAAGGCTTGAGTGATTTGATCACTTAGTCAGTCACTCAGCCCCCTCCAGCTGTTTCAGTGCGAGCAGGAAAGAATGAAGACATAGCAGAAGCGCTGGGGCAATCGATTGCGCAAGCTCCTTTCGCCACATGCCAGAAAGCAAAGTTCATTAGCTTCGCTTCACTGCCCCTGACGCTCAGGTAAAAGCCCTTTCAGCTGCGGAGCGCTATGTGGTGGTAAGAAACCGTGGCCCTGCTGCATAGAGAAGAGACGGAGACTCTGAGAGGGAGACTGCGCTTTTTGGGTGCTACAAGTTGCAACAACTTGCTCACTTCTTGATGCATGCGGCCTGGTCCCCACTCTAAAGGCATGGAGGACTTGTACACCCGGGCATGGTGTCTAGTTGAGTACATTTATGCATCCTGGCTGCATATCTGCTTTGCACCAAAGAGCTGGGTTGGGATGGCTCCTGCGCCAAGGCAAAGAAATTTGGCTTCTACAAGGACAAGGTCCTTGTCACAGGCCCGAACGAATTTTCAGACTCTCTGCCACAGGAGGTCTTTGTTTTCTCTGCCTCTGCTGCTGCTGCGCTTGGGCATGGCATGGGGACCTCCTGCCAAGGAGTCAAGAACAACCTGTACCCAGATCCGAGCAAGCTACCTGGCAGAATTGGGACATGAGGCAAGAGAGGAGCCCTAGCAATCCATACGAGAATTCCTTCCTGTTCCTTGCTGTTCCAATCACGCTAGAACCAGGTGATGAGGAAGATCGGCTCAAGATCTTCAAGCTGCTCGCCCGAACTGCAGAGAGCTCTCTGGTGGGGCGTCTTGGCGTTTCTCTGCATGTTTTCCCAGGTTCATTATGGATGAGGGAGGTCCAGCGGTGATTGATCCGCAGATCCACGAGTTCCGTGCGTTTGACGCGCGCTTCGGCGGGGTGCACATGAGCTGATGCCTTGCCTTCTTAGGAGCAAGCTCCAGCTTTATATGGTCAGCTGTCAGAAATGTGGGCCATTTTTTGTACTGTCAAAGGGATCCTAAGAATCTTGGGGTGCCATAGTCAGAAGTAACGAGGCGCCCTCATTTTGACAACTGCCTACACGTTGCTAACGCACCGCGGCGGGACGCCATAGCAGCGTGCAGTTGCTTGTTTCTCTACAGGAGAGATGAGCAAGCCTGTTGCAAAGAGTTTATGTCAGCTGCCTGACAGACGTCAGCTGCAGCATATGTAGTGCCACGCTTGCGAAGCAACGGGTAACAAAAACTGTTTGAAGTTTGGGGCTACTGCCAGGCAGCAACCACTTGCAAGTTCTTCATTTGCCGGGATGGAGAGCACAACTAATTAATGGTCACATCAAAATAACGTTCGCAGAAAATGATACTAATTAGTCATAATAAGAAGTGTTCATACTAACAGTTGTAGAATCAGACCATAGAGTCTAGAGTCCTTTGGTTGGTAGTTGCGTGTACTTTGCTCTTAGCTTGGTCTGGCGAGGAGAAGCACATCTTCTGGTGGTACCTCATCGAAAGCGCAGCCGCATCTGAGGCAGTAAGTATTAAAACCCCTGTAAACTAGCTATCTAAACGCAGTGTCCACGTCAGTTTCCATTGTCTATTCCATTTGATCCTCTCCTCTTGAGGCAATGCTCCAACCCTAAACCCTATATATCCCTAGAATAACTTCTGTAATGGGACTTAATATAGTCCCTATATATCTCTACCTGGCCCGGCCCAACTGTTTCAGCACAGGTTGGCATCTGGCTTTAGTGAAGAGACTTTGTTTGATGTGTGTTGGCCGCCGCTTATTCAATTTCAGGCCAGTTTTGGGAAGACCTTGTTGAATGTGTTTGGTTTTGGGGCCCTTACTGAATCCAGATCATCCGCTTTAAAGTAGTCCCCCATGCCTCCCAGGGCCTAAGTACCGTGGGAGCCTTATTCAGGACTTTTAGTTTTACTCTCTAATTTTCTGTTATGGCGGGGGGGTCCACACTGCAAGTAGACCTTTCGAGGAGTGGGGGTTGGCTTGTCTAGGCTTTGATCCATAGTAACCCTAATCCTTAGTATGGGGACCCCAAAATGTACCCCTAATTTTTGGAACCCAAGGTCAGCCAGGGCCCCAGGGCTCTGGGGCCCCCCAGACCTTTTGGCCAAAACCACAAAACAAAAACCATTGTTTTTCAGATATCTCCTCGGGTCTCCCTAAACCCCCTTTAGGATCCTTTAGGCTCTTAGGCAGAAAAAGGCTTTCTGTAAAGGTCGGCGGATAGTCTCCCAATAGTTGAGAATCAAAGGGAAAAGAACATGGAAAAGGAGCTGGATGCTGGGTTTGCATAGGGTTTTTTCGGGGGTGAAACCTTATCTTTCACATCTCGCTCTGTGTTATCATGTGATTGTCATTGCTGCCGCTTTACCTCGTGCAGATTGGTATTGCAGTTAGATCCTAGGCACGTTTCAGCTGCCGCCATCATTCTCACCATGACAGACTACGTAGCAATATTAAGAACAGTAGGAACGGCTTGATAATGATCTTGTTTCTGTGCTAGGTGGCGGTGAACCTGCTGCTCCCATGCTTCTTTGAGACTGTTGAGTAAGTCTTTCACGTGGTTTGGATCCTTTAACTCAGTACAAAAGAAAAGGAACCACCTTGCAAAATACTTCCTGATATTATCTCACGATAATTTCGACAAAGTTTCTTATGGAGACCTCCATACTCTCCTGTATTTCCTACATATCCCTTTGGTCCCCTAAGGGCCTCAGACAGCCCTTCGAGAACCTAGGCTTGGTTTGCTCCCGGAGATCGGGTAGCTGGCAGCCACCACCAGAGTTGGACTCCCCAGCTGGGGATTGGATACCGTAGCCATATAGGGATGTAATCTAAACTCCTTAAAGGGGGGATATATAGGGAATTATATAGGGGACTACTATAAGGCTTATTAGGGGGGATACTAGGAGCTATAGCTCATATGGGGATGTAATCTAAACTACCTTCAAAGGGGTTATTTATGGGGTAGCAATATAGGGGTGATTAAGGGGGATGCGAGGAGTTTAGTCTACAGCTCATATGGGGATATAGATGGGGATTGCATAGGGTTCCTTTTACAGAGGTTATGGGGCTCTATAGGGTTTAGGGTTTGGGAGTATTACCCCGATATTTTTGGCACAGAAAGATGGCAAAAAGGGAAAACCCAATGAATATCACTGCCATAGCAACTGGAGAGGAATATGCAATTATCAGAAAATGTGAAAGAAAACGCCAACTACAATATCACGTCCCTACAAGCACACTTATATTCTAGACATAGCTAGGCTTGACTGGTGCTTGGTGGGGGAGTGGGGGACAGAATATGGTCATTCTCATATTGGGGTTACGGAGATTAAAGGGGGATCCACCACCCACTTGCGTTCAGCAAGAGCTGTTAATGAATGGCAGAAACTGGAAAAACGCGGAAACTACCAGAAAATGGCAAAGGAAAATGGAAACCGCCTTTGGACATGGCAACTGCTGTGTCATTTTCTAGGCTTCGGGAAAGGAAATAGATGGAAATTCATTTGGGGTCTGTTCGGTTTGTACGCACATTTCGAGCAGTGGGTTTATCCTGCATGGTAGCCGATGGAACCCAGCTTAAAGCATCCTAAGGCATTCCTAGTCTAAGAAGTGCATGGAGGACAAGGATTAGAAGGGGATTTTGGTAACCCCAACCCCCAATGGACCCTATGACTATCATATGATGGCTATATGGTCCTAATTTTTGGGGTTGGGGTTACCAGAATCCCCTTATTAAAGGAGCAACAGGAGCGACACGTAGATGATCGCAGGAAGATATTCCTGTGTGCGTCTCTAGCAGACTGTAGTTGGAAGTGGATGGTGGCAAGTTGAGCTCCTGAACGCGGGGTCTCAGAGTTCATTGGATAAAGCCCAAGCTGCAAAGGAAGACGCCCCCCGATGCGCCATGCTTCATTTGCTTCCCCAAATCTATTCAACTGCCTGACATGTGTCTCAGCACTGTCACTTGTCACAGTATGCCATAGCAGCGATGCAGGTGGGTACTGCTCTTACTGACCTTGACCTTGAATCTGGGAGGCCGTGTTCAGTGGTTGCTGTGGTGCTTGCCTTGTCCAGGTGCTCATTTGTCATGAGGCTGCAGATAGCCTGCTAGCTAAGCAGATAACAGCTAAGCTCCAAAAATCGTGCATGCTGACCCTTGAAAAACCTCCAAGTGCGCATGCGGCTGCAGAGCTCGAAGCACAAGACCATGCAAGATCAATCGCAGGAGGTCCGGCATGAGCATGAAATACTGCTGCCCTTGGTTCGGGCTTCTTGACGTTTCACACCAACCTGCCCCAACCCCACGCACAACAGCCCAGATCTGATCACACACACGATGGACACAGACTGGGTGCGGCATCGCGGTTGGGCAAGACAGTGCCAACTTGAACTTATCGCAAGAACGGCATAGCTCAACCATCGTGTTTCAGGGTCTAGTGCTGCCTGGCAACAGAACAGAAGATGCGTGATAGACAATGCTTCAAAAACCTTGCTTGGGTCTTTTTAAAACCACAGCTTACACTGTTGCTGTTGCTCCTGTTCAGCTTACACTTATGATAAGTGGTTGTACCAGGACTCCCCCTTACCCGGACCAAGCTATCGAACAAAATCCGGAATTATCACTAGTACTTTGCCAAGAAGCAGCGGCATAGGTACCTTCTTGGAAGGCTTCTTCAAGTCCACGCGGCTGCCCTTCCGTCGTGTTTCATAGACCTTGCGGAGCTGTATCGGGGTACTTTCGCCTTAAGCATGGCATCGACCAAAACATCATCAGCTTCTCCAGGTGTTTGTTTCTGCAGCAAGCAGAGGATTTCAAGCACCTTTCTAAAAGGGAAGGAATATTTCGTTTCTCTAAGGCGCATATCATTTAAGCAGAGGGCCAAATGTCCATTGTCATCATTCCGCGCCTTTACACACCGCTTTGAGCTTGCATCTTAAATCCCTATATTCCCCCAGTTTCCATTTCATTTTTCATTTCATTTTCCATTTCATTTTCCATTTGATTCTCCATTATAGGGGTAATATTGGGTACCATAATGTAGTTTCCATTTGATTTTCCATTATCCCAATATTACCCCAATATTATAGTAGTTTCCATTTTCTTTTCCATTATCCCCAATATAACCCCAATATAATCCCTACATAAACCCTATAATCCCTGTAGTTTCCATTTTCTTTTCCATTATCCCTATATATTACCATTACCCTAACTGCATCCCAAGTCCCACTGCCAGGCTTTCACAATCAATCCGCCGAAGTCAAAAGGATCATCTGCTTGTTTTCGCAGTGGCCCAAGTCCAGGACTGGGGTTATGTACTCCGCTTCAAAAAGGGACAAGCCCAAGTTGAAAGTCAGGTAGAATATTGCACGTGGTCCATTATGATTGGCGACATGCATCGCTACAGTTTCATACAATGCCTACCTAGTGATGCAGGAACTTTAGGCTCGTTGCATTTTCAGGGTTATACAGGGGTGGTGTGGAGTCTAGAGATTGTTGGGAGCTCCAGCCCCGAACCTAAGAATGGCGATTCTCAGCTGGTGTCGCTTTTAGAGGAATTATGGTGCAATCTCCGGGGTGTACCCTCGACCCGGCTTGCAGCTTAGTGAGCTTGCACACTGTGACACGCCTCTGTGCCCCTACTTCATGGCAGACGTGACTGCAAGCACTGCTACAGTCTGCTACGTTGCTACATGGGCAGTTCCCAAAATTAGGGTCCCATTTTTGTACCCCCATTTTTTTGTTGGCCGTGTCACTCGCAGCGCCACGGGACAGGTGAGGACACAACCTTTAGGGGATGTTGGTACCCCTAAATATTGGGTGCCATAATATAGTCTATGACCAAAAGGGGCAACAATCCACATAGTGTAGTCCAGGAGTTGTAACAGTCGTAGCAAGGCTGTTGTGT